GTGGTGGCGCTGGGGATTAAACCCAGGGCCTCAAGGATGCAAGGCCTGTGCTCTTTTTTGTTTTGTTTTGTTTTGTTTTGGTTTGTTTGCTTTTTGGGTCACAGGCGATGCACAGGGGTTATGACTGTCTCATGCACTCAGAAATTACTCCTGGCAGTGCTGATGCTCAGGGGATCATGTGGGATGCTGGGAATCGAACCCAGGTTGATTGCTTGCAAGGCAAACACCCTACCTGTTGTGCTATCGCTCCAGCCCCGGCCTGTGCTCTTCTAACTGCTCTTCTAACAGAGAGATTTCCCTGCCGCCTCTGTGGTCTTTTTTTTTTTTTTTTAACTTAGCAGCTTTTTTCTTTGCGGTTGTGTCAGCTGAGCTGAGCTGGATGACCGTCTGTGGCATGTCCTCGTCACCCTGTCCTGCTGGGCCTGGTGTGGCGGTGTTGAATAGAGACACCGATCCATCTCAGCCGTGCCTTGGCCTCCTTCCTTCCCATCATTCGTGGCCTGCTGGGAGCTCACTTGGTCTTGAAGTGCGAAATGGGCCTCAGTTCCAGGCTCTCGGCTGGCATGGTCCTGAGATTCTGTCTCCTGGCCCTCGCTGAGCTCATGCCCCCATGCCCATCTCTGCAGACGCAGTATGGGGGGTGCAGTCAGCAAGGAGAGCCTGCAGGCTGTTAGGGGCACCCCCTCCCACGGCATAGGTTCCCCAGCAGACGCTTTTCCTGCTGTCTGCAGGGGCCTTTGAGAGCTGTGCTGGTGATGACTCCAGGGCTACAGGGAAGTAGGGCATCAGTGAGGTACCAGAACTCTCACCCTGACCCTCCCTACACACACACACACACACACACACACACACACCCCTCTCAGTGGCCCCAAGGGCGAGTTTCAGCTGCCAATGTGCTGATATATGTGTATGGTTAAGTCCCTGGATTTCAGCTATTTTTATGGCTCAGAAATTCCTGGGGTTCTTTAACCCATGCCACCCCTCAGGACCACCACCATTATGACCTTGAGTGTGGGTCAGTCTTCGCCAAGGTCATAGTTTTGTATCCTTGGCTGATTCCGAAGACTCATATAAAATTTAGAGAAAGCATTGAGCCCCAGAGTGTCAAGTTGTAGCTTGGGATTTGTTTGCCTAAAAGTCAGCGTCCATCAGATGGGAATGGGAGAGAGAAACCACAGGCCTGGGTCCCACCAACCCTGCCAGCCTGGCCCAGGCTGTTGCTATAGTTCAGACCATTTCAGGGAGGATGAGGGTCCTCCCCCCAACCCACCCAACCCCCCTCCCAAAGTGCTTTCCAAGAGGGTGCAGTTTTGAATGTGCTTCGACAGGGGCCCTTTAAAGAGGGAGTGTGTGCAGGCGAGGGGCCACCTAGTGGGAGGCAGCTCCTGCCTCCCAGCCTTCCCCCTGGAGCCTAATGAGGCCCCGCATTCAACTCTGCTGTCAGTCTGACCCCCAGAGTATCACTCAAAGCCCTGGCATTCTCCAGAGATGAACAGAGAGTTCTGCCTTATTTTTAAGGTCACCCAAATCCCATCCGAAGGCAGCCACAGGCCCTCTGTACACTGTCCACTGACCAGCAGCCTTGTGTTTGCGTGCTTGTTTATTTGGGGGGTTGGACCACACCCATCAGTGCTCAGGGGCCAATCCTGGCTTATGCTCAGGGGCCACAGGCCTGCGGTGTGGGGATGTCAAGCCATTGTCAGCTGCATGCAAGGCAACAGCCTTGCCCTGTGCCGTCTCTTCACCCCTTCTTGCGGTTTGAGTTTGAGACCAGGGTGACAAGCCTTCCTTCACGGGGCCTTCTCCCCACCCCGCCATGCTGCTTTGGGTGTGGCTGAGTGCCAGGCAATATGCTGAGAGGTCCATGACAGGCACAATTTTACAGCCTTGTAAGTTCTAGTCTAGAATTTGCAGATACTGGAGGGAAAAGGGCTCACTGTGGCCAAACAGATCAAGTGGATCTTAAGACCAGGTCATCCAGGAATTCCTGGTTCTTCTTGGCCACCCTTGTGGTACAGTGGGATGTAGACCTGGTCTGATACAGCATTGGACTGGAGGGTTCCGAAAGGCTGACCTTTGGTTCTGTGTTGGCTCCCTTGGAAGGGGCCGTCATTGGCAGTAACCTTCTCTTTCGGTGCTTGTAGAGCAAATCAATGACTGGTCTTGGTCAGGAGACTAAGTTTCTCTTATTCTTGTCCAGGCTTGGCATGGCAGGTGCACCCGGTCCCGGTTCTTATCCTTAAGGAACTTAACCAAGTGGATCTCAGAAACGTACATTGTCAAGCCCAGCCATGACACAGACAGAAAGGACCCTGGGTCTCTGAGATGGAGGAGACACTTGTCATGAAAGTCAATGTACAGGGTGGCTGGAAGGAGTGGCCACTAGATTCTGGTTTTCACAGGGGTGATGCATTGATGCATATCACACACACACACACACACACACACACACACACACACACTTCCCACAGGGTGGTGGCAGCTTCAGGTTTACTGGCTATTTTATGTGAAACTTCCCAGCATTGGTGGTGGGCAATGGGCAGGGTCCAACTACGTGGCCCCCTGCATATAGGTATTCAAGAAGAGGGAGAATGAAAGTTTGAGTCCTTCATTTTGTTGCCTGCACAGTTGCCCCAATGCTGCCAGTGCCAGACCCCAAGAGAAAGAGAATGCCCCCCCCCCACATTTGACCTATCTTGGAAGTCAGCCATAGGTTGGGCAGCTGAGATCTGATAGAGTCTTCCTGTCCTAATATTAGCTTCTTCCTGGTAACAGCAGTAACTGTCTATCCTCTCCAATGTGCTTTGCAACAGTTCCCTAAGAATGAGTCCTGGGTGCCGGTTCAGGACTCCACCTCAGGGAATACCACCTTGGGGCATGTTGGTGCCCATATGGTTCTCTGGTCCCAGGGCACGTCGCTGAGTGTGTGACAATATCCCTGCCTGGGTCCTGATCCAGACCTGGCCTCTCAGACCCTCTCTCTGGACATTTCCTAGACCTGTGTTTGTGATAGGTACCATGAAAGACTCGGCCAGGGCAGAGAATTGCCTGCCCCTCCCCCCTGGCCCCTGCAGCTTCCTATTGTGTGGGGTGGCCCCTGGGGTCACCTGCTGGGCCCTTTGGGGTTCTTCCTGCCTACCTCTTACTTCCCTCTGTGACTCCCCATATCTGAGTTTTGCTCTTTCCTGCACCTTTCCCTCCGAATAGAAAACTTCTGGATGGCCACAGCATCTTTTTCTTTCCTTATAGTCTCTGCTCCACCTGACTACCCTTCACACTCTCTGAGTCCCTCTCCCTCTGCCCTCTCCCTCAGCACCCAGCATGCAGGGGGTGCCTAGTGCTACCTTCCCGGTTGGCCTAAACAGAATGGCTCCCACATCCCATTCTCGGCTTCAGGGCCTGTCCTTGAGTTGTGGCTCTCACCTTGGCGGCCCTTCCTTCTCCCTAAGGGCTGCGGCCTCTTCTGGCCCTACTTTGACTGTGCCCACTGCCCTATGATGGGTGGCACTTGATTTCAAAATGAGAATTCGCACTCCAGGGGTCCCGGGGAGCAGCTCCCCGCTTAGAAGTGCCCACGAGCTCACAGGGATGGTTAAACTGGGCTGTGAGAAGCTTTGACTTCTCTTTTCCTGTAGGTTTTTTTGGGGGGCAACTAGGAAAGTCATGTATTTCTTTCCAAGTACACCCAGGAAAAAGCCGAGAACATCTTCCAAAGCCTTTTCCATAACTGAGTGGTAAGACGTATTCGGTCCAGAGACTTCTCTTTCTTTACCCATTAAAAAAAATAAATAAAAAATAGACAGGAGGGAAAACACAAAGAGAACTGAAGGCTTGGTGGTCCCCGAACTCGAGCCGAGCTCCTGGGCAACACTGGAACCTTCTTTTCTTTTCATGCAGTCCCTTTTCCTTGATGTTAATGCAAGTTGTGCCTTCCTAAAAGTAATAAAAGGGAATGAAGACACGTTCTGAAATGAAACTTGACTCTAATCCATTCATCATCGAGTACCAGCCTCTTTATCTTCCCTGCTACCTAATCTGGTTAAATGTCCCTGTTGTAGGATTTTAGTGAAATCCTCTACTGGGAATAGGGTTTTTTGCAATTGGATTACTCTCAGTAAATGGCCCAGTAGTTCGCTTGTTTCAGCTTAATTTTTCCTTTGTGATCTTGCGGGGCTAAGTTTAAAGCATAAGGTAGTGGAGAAAAAGCTGGGGTGCGGGGCTGGGAGTGGGGGTGGGGGGCAGGAGAGGGGAATCATTTGGGGATGCACTTGTGGTCATGGCAACTAGAAACTTCTTCAAAGTGCTTGATTAAAACGCCTTCTCTCCACCTGGGCTCCCTTTCTGAACAATTTTGTTTTCCTAGAACTGCCCATGTCAAAAATGCCTCCCTTTTCCCATCGCTCAGTTTGTCACCTGGTGAATTGGCCCGTGGTACCTTGATTTCGAAAGAAATTTCTAATGGGGGTGGGGGGCACTGTTGGAATCTGCATAAAATATTCAGGGGGGTTGCCAGCCTGTTCCCAGCTTTCTGCTCAAGTTTGCAGCTGCCAGCCAGGCCTGGTTGGCAGACCTCTAAAGGATTGTGCAGCGCCCCCCTCCTTCACGACACACACACACACACACACACACACACACACACACACACACACACCCCACACACACAGGCTCCAGGGAGCTGTGGGTGGTTAAGGAGACCAAGGGGTGAGAATTGGGTACTGCCAAGTTTCCTGTGGCCTGAGGTTTCCCTGGCCGAATCCCCCCTGAAGCTCGCCTGCCCTCTGGGGGTCCTGCCAGATTCCTTCCCCACTCTCCCCCCATCCCCAGCGGGAGCCAGTGGTCCCAGGAGAGTCTTCCTGCCCTGTGGAGCAAAGGGGGTGTCCTGGAGTTACTGCTTGCCCTGTGTTCTTAATGCGTGGCCGGTGGGGGAGGGTCCTTGGGGTGGCTCTTGGGTCTGCACTGCCAGAAGTAGCCTGATGTGTCTCCCCTCTCGTCCCCTGCAGTCGAACAAAGTGCCGGTCGTGCAGCACCCCCACCATGTCCACCCTCTCACGCCTCTCATCACCTACAGCAATGAGCACTTCACCCCAGGAAACCCACCGCCACACTTACCTGCAGACGTCGACCCCAAAACAGGTGGGCTATGCGCGTGACTGCGGAACCGGAGGACTTCCAGGGGTGTGGAGGGTGCAGCGGATTGGAGGGGCTCCCTGGCCCCTCTTCTGGGAGATGCCGTGGCAGCTTCCACTTGGAGAAGTCTGTTGGGTGCTCGATGATCTCTTGGATACTTCAAAATACTCTGCCCAGGAGTGGGGGGTGAAATGTGGGGGGGAGTCAGGGAAAAATCCTTAGGGATTCTCAGAACTAGCTCCAAAAGCCCAGGGCCCCTTCGAGACTGGGAGTGGACAGTGGTTTGGGAGACATCTCCTGGCTTCTTGCTCAGCATTTTGGGGAGAACGAGTGCAGACTGACTCCCTCAAAGTAGTGGCTATTGGATGCTGTCACCTTGCCGAGTGCAGCCCCAGGAGACTGCCCCCCCCCCCCCCCGCCCCATAAACACACTTTCTGGGCTATGCCTTTCCTTTATTTAGTACATTCACCCCCTATCAGTAGCCCGGGCCTTAGCACCACACCCATTTCACAGATGGGAAATCTGGAGTCCAAAGAAGTTTCCTCTTCACGTCTTCGGTCAGCAGGGTCTGTCTCAGCAGAAATCATGCTTGTGGCAGCTGTGCAGGCTGAGGGTACCCTCCCCCCCTTCCTCCCCACCTACCCCTTTCCCCCAACACACACACACACACACACACACACACACACAGAGCTCCATAGGAGAGTGGATGGAAGATGGGATATCCCATCACAGTCACAGGGAATTGTGTGGTGTTGGGCTAAGGTCAGCTGACTGCTTGGAGGCCGATGCTGGCCCCAGTGAGAGCCCCCCACCCAAGAACTGCCTTCCACCAACCACTGAGCTCCCTTTTGTGTTGGGGGAGCAGAACCCGGTGTGGGGTGAGCCCATTTGCACCCCTGCAAGACAAGCTCAGTGTCTGATTTGAATAGTGGTGTGTTGCACACAGGGCCCAGCTTTTAAATGGTCCTTGGGAAGCAGAACTGGCCTCCTCAGATTGTGTCAAGTATGCCCGCGTGGAAGTGTCACCCAGAGAGACTTAATTGGCAGAATGAAAAGCTTTCTGGGTGAATTAGGAACAAAGAAACAAAAAATTATTTTTACCTGGGAACCAGCAACTCAGGTCCTATGATATGGTTTTGGGGTGGAGGGGTGGGCGATTGCTCCCCAGGCTCTAGTTTCTAAGACCTGGAGGCGAGCTGTCATGAGCCCCCTGGGGGCGGCCAGTCAGAGCTGGGCTCGGGCTGACCAGATCAGTGCGCCTGCACCAGCATCTCCTTGACTGTCCGGTCCTAGCATCCTAGTCAGCTGCCCTGCATGGAACTGGACACCTCCTGGAGACAGACGCCCTCTTCCCCAGAGCTGGAGCTTAGACCAATGTGTCAGCAGCCCAGGGGGTCACGGCTTGGGGGGGGTCATTCAGGGTGCTGAGCCCCTCGTCTGAGAAGGGGGAAAGGGACAGGTGGTAAGGGCAAGGGACCGGCCCTTCAGGCTTGTTTTTAATTCGCCCAGTCCCACCCATCACCTGAAAAGGAACAGACGGGGTGGCCTAACTCTCACACCAGTCAGGAAAAGGAGTGAGGGCAGAAATTCCAGAAGAGGCACCTCCCTTTGTCTTTTTCCTCTCCCCTCTCCCCGATGTTTCTTTTTCTTCTTCATGCCTAAAGTGCTGTTTCTTTCCTCAGGAATTCCACGGCCTCCACACCCGCCAGATATATCTCCATATTACCCGCTTTCTCCCGGCACCGTAGGACAAATCCCCCATCCGCTAGGATGGTTAGTACCACAGTAAGGAGTTCCATTTTTTAATTTCCTTTTTGTTTCTTACATGGGCATGCTCATTATTTATTCTGTGCATGGTGTGTATGTCTGAGGAGATGGGCGGAGGAGGGATTGTGGGGTGCCTGGGGAAGGGGCTTGGAAAAGGGTTAGCTCTAGGAGGCCCCTGGTCTGACTTCCTGTCTGGAAGCAGAAGTGGGCCCTGAAAATACTTTAAATCTTTTGTTTGTTTGTTTGTTTGTTTCTGGGCCATACCCAGTGATGCACAGGGGTTACTCCTGGCTGTGCACTAAGGAATCACTCCTACCAGTGCTCGGGGGACTCTATGGGATGCTGGAGATAGAGCCCAGGTCAGTGGTGTGCAAGGCAAATGCCCTCCCCACTATACTATTGCTCTAGCCCCTAAAAACCCCTCAGAGACTTAGAAAAGGCACCTTCTGGGCTTTTCTATGGGTCATAGTGACACCTAGATCCTGCTATAGCTGCAGCAGGCCCCCTAGTTTGGAACCTCAGATATGGGAGCACGGGGTGGTTTTCTCGTGGCCCCACAGCACACAGCCCTGACCCAGTCACTGTGCCGAGAGTGACAGCCTCACTGGAAAGTTCTGCCTATTGGGCAGCTCTGAGAGCTTTGCCCGTTGAGTGTGTCACATCCTTGGGCACATGTGAGGGGCAGCCGGGCCAGCATCCCCCACCGTGTGACCAGCGGGGCCTTCCCAAGGGCCAGCCTGAGTTTTGTAGGGCCCAATGCTTCCTGGCACTTGTTCTGGTGTGCACGCACCACCCAGGAACTGGTCCAGTACAACTTGGGCATTGGCGGGGGAGAAAAAGCAGAAAGTTCATGGATAGAAAAGCATCTTCTGTCCGTCCGTCCGTCCGTCTGTCTGTCTGTCTATTGCATGCTTGCATGTGGCTTACAGTTGTGTGTTTTTTGTGTATCTATGTCTCCATGTTTATCAGTGATCTCTGTTCCTTAAAAAGCACAGGGCAATTTGCCAAATCTGATCAGGTATACATTCTGGGAGCATTCTCAAGTTTGGGTGTTGAGTGAGATTCCCTCCCAGAGCCTTATGGAAGATGCGATTTTGGAGTAGCCTTTTACACTCAATTCTGTTCTTCAGCTCAGTCTCTCTAGTTGAAGAGATTGTAAAATGCATATGTATGTATGTGTATGTATCATATGTATTATATTTTTGACAGCTTGGATATGGGGTATTACTAAGCCATTACTCTGGGGATAGTTTCAGTGTTTATTTCTTCCTTCATTTTTTTTTTTTGCGGGGGGGAGTATGCACACAAGCTTCTATCCTGTTTCTTCTTGGGGAGTGGGGACCATTCCTCCCTAGTTCTCAGCCATCACTTGCCCCTTGTCAGCTGATGGGGTGATACTTGAAGGCAAGATAAAAAGGAATAGCCAACGCAGACAATGCTCTGTCAGAAGGAGTTGTGTGTCTTTCATGAGGATGCTATTTTGCATGTTGCTGTATTTTTTAATTATTGTAATGAGGTGTGATTGTCTATTGGTTACCCACAATTCTTCTTGGGGACTCTTCCCCCCCGGTAACTCTTGTCAACACTTGTTAATTTGACAAAAGGCTACAAATTAAGCTCTGTTAATTTAATGTTTTCTCACCGAGATCTAAATACCGAAAGAGGCCCAAAGCGCAACTGAAGTCCTTTGATTCACTGTACTTTATTTTGGTATAAATTTACATTCATTATTGTTTTCCTTTGGATGTGTAGCCCTCAATTAGTGTGATGGCTCCATTAAAGCAAGAGAGACTTCGCCTTTAATTATTACAACAAAACACCTAGTTTCAGCTTGGGGAGAGGGCCTCTATTGACATAAGCAGAGGTTATAAAATTTAATTAGCCATTCCTATCAGATTTATGGCATTCAAATTGTTCTGTGTTTCTTCCCTTTGATCCTTCCTGTACAATCCCCAAGATTTTTGTTCGGATCAAATGAGAATAAAGCTTACTGTGCACAGAGAACTTTCCCTTTTTCTTCCTTTTCTCCTCCCCACCCCCACCCCGGTGGCCCTCTCTAACTCTCTGCCCCCTTTTTGTAGGCAAGGTCAGCCCGTGTACCCCATCACCACAGGAGGATTCCGTCACCCTTACCCCACCGCCCTGACAGTCAACGCTTCTATGTCCAGGTGAGTGTCAAGAACCAGGGCGTCCTTCCAAAGCCCTGTTGTCGCAATTGCACTTGGGCCATGGGCCATGCAGGAGCGGTTGCTCCCTGTTGTTTTGATGGGATCAGACAGATGTGATATGGGAAAATTTGTGATATTTCCTTAAGAGGAGATAGTGCCCCGAGGTTCCAAAGTAAGTGGATGTAGAAAGTTCAAGGTCAAATTTCTGAGCCAACCAATTGACTGTAGATCGATCTATCAATATGTATGTCTATATCTATAAACACACACACATATATATATTCAAGAAATTTTATGAAATTGGAGAGCACTAGGATATGCGGAAACTCAAAAAGACTATTTCATGCCAGAGCGATAACGGAGCAGGGAAGGCATTTGCCTTGCACATAGATGACCCAGGTTCGATCCCTGGCATCCCATGTGGTCCCCCAGCACCACCAGGATTAATTCCTGAGGACAGAGTCAGGAGTAACCCCTGAGCATCGCCAAGCATGACCCAAAAAGGGGAGGGAGAAAAACACAATAAAATAAAAGACTGTTTCTCTGTTGCTCTTCACTCTGGGAGACAGGGAAGGGCAGCAGTGACCTTGCAGTCTACAAAATCAAGTTCGGAGGAAGGTTATTGGTCTTTCAAAGCTCACACTTGAGGAGCACAAGAATGCACAGCCTCCCTCCCTTCTTTCCCCCCCAAGGCGGTCCCAGAGAAATACAGGATGAGCCATAAAAAAGCAACGTGAACTGCTCTAGTGGCCATATTTTTTCAAAGCTTAAAATAAAAAAGCCCAGGTGAAATTAATGATAGATTTATTCAACAAAATATCATTTTGATGATATTTGTGTCATAAAAATATAACCATTCAGTACTTGTACTATAAAACCGCAATTGGTGGGACCTTTTCCTTTCTGTTTTTGTACTTAGTTTTGAAATCCTAGGTGTCTCTTTCCACCTAATGTGTCTCAGTGCCAGAGCAATAGCAATAGCAAGGCGCTTACTTGCATGTGACTTACCTGGGTTCGATCCAGGCATCACTTAGGGTCCTACGAGCCCTGTCAGGAGTGATCCCTGAGCACAGCAAGTGTGGCCCCCAAACCAAAATTGTCCTGTCTTCCTGTTGTTCATTGATTTTCTCGAGCGGGCACCAGTAATGTCTCTATTGTGAGACTTGTTGTTACTGTTTTTGGCATATCGAATACGTCATGGGTAGCTTGCCAGGCTTTGCTGTGTGGGTGAGATACTCTCAGTAGCTTGCCGGGCTCTCTGAGAGGGGCGGAGGAATCAAACCGAGGTCGGCCCGGGTCGGCTGCCTGCAAGGCAAACGCCCTACCTGCTGTGCTATCGCTCCGGCCCAAAACCAAAATAAATAAATAATTTGAACTGACCACATTTCAAGTCCTTGACTCCAGGTGGCTGCTTACACCTCATCTGCCTGTGCAGTTCTAGGTCTTTAAAAGTTAAAAAACAAAAACAACATTGTGTGTGTGTGTATGTGTATGTGTGCATACTTTTGTTTGTCTTTAAGCGTGTAGACTCCCACATACGTGTATCTAGAATCTTCCTAATCCCCATGTTCTCTTTTCCCTCCGTCTAATTAATTCTGGCTAATTTTTCAGTGACTGCGACTTTATTTACAAGCTGGTTGGCAGCAGCATGTTTAAGTAGTCACTAATTGCTCCTAATGATAGTTTTATTTTCTGTTCATCTGATTTTCAGTCAAGTTAATTAAATCGGTGGAGGTTTAGACTTTCCTGATGGACTGCAACAACTAATCCATTTTGATGATGGCACATAATTAAATTAGCATGCCTTACATGGCAGGGGGCTGCCCCCCAGCCTCCCCCTCTCCCTGCCCCCCACTCCACTCACCACCACGGGAACCCAAGACCAGAGGGTGACAAAGACTGGCCAGGGTGCCTCTTGCCTTCTGTGCAGATTGGTGGTTCGGATGGGGGCGTGAGTAAGGGAGTGAGTGTCGCTGTGTACAAACCCACTTTCCCCCCTGAGCGATCCACTGCTGTCCTCTCAAAACCTGCAGCAACATTGGGGAGGCAGGAAGTGCTAGGTTCCCTCTAGCCAGGGAACGTCATGAACGTCATCGTGTCCTGGCCAAGCCAGGGGATGCACAGGGAGTCCTCCCTGAGGGGGACTGAGCCCAGCTTCCCTCCAAACCAGCGCTCACACCACACCTCTGCTCCTCTTTCCTTTTCGTTCATTCCCTGCGTTTGGGAAGTGCCAGCCCCCGCTATGCTGTCCTAGGGTGGGGATCAGGGTTAAGCTTATCGATGGAATGATCGTTAGGAGGTTAGCCGATGATTTATAGGTGGGCACGGGGAAGGATGGGAAGAGAGGAAAGAGGGGGAGGAAAGGTTAGGGGGGGCAGGGGGAGGCGGCCGATTCCCCAGGTAGGCCTTATGAAAGGTAGCTAGTTAAAACAGCGTATACAGCAAATTAAATACATTATTGTGATAATGGGGCGACAGAAGTATAGGTCTATTATACTTATGGCAGTTATAGGAAATGTAGGCAGCTTGCCCTGTTCCAGAACACCCTTTGATATTCATCCTATTCAGCAGTGGGGCCAGGACTTCTCAGAATTAAGTGATGGGTCATTATACTTTAAACACCATGGAGAAGCCTAGATTGGCAATTAAACAGCGCTTGCTGACACTCACTTGTGCCACCCTGTGACCCCCTTTAGATTGAGATGTTGGAGCTCCGGGCCCTCAGCCTGCTAAATTGGCGCAAGGTTCTTCTCCTGACGAGAGCGGGCTCTGAAATCTGCCGGCTTCAAAGGGAGCGAGATCATGTATAAACCATAATGTGGGTGCACCGTGGCTCGCGAAAAATAAGGCAGGAAGAGATGAAATGTTACAAGTGCAAGGGGGAAAATGAGAGAATAATGACAAACCTAATGCGACTCAAAGCAGGATTGTTGCACGGGAAAATGCATCCCACTGCTTGTGCATAAAATCAAGGCCGGCGGATGACATCCAGTTAACAGAAATGTGTCAGCCGTGAAGGGAAGTGAGAGTGAGTGAGAGAGACGCCCCTGAGACAGCCAGAAACAAAAATTAGTTGTTCTTAACAAGTTAAGGTTCATCATTATATTCTGGCTTGGAGCCATGAAAGCAGACAGGGGTATATAATGAGCTGCTTCGAATTTTTAGGGTGTTTATCGCTTTGCATAAGATAGTTGTCTGCAGAAAGGCATTTCCTCAGTCAAGGTGTACACACCACCCGAACACAACTGCCCAGGCGCCCTCGTTCCACTGTAACACCTTCAGGTACACGTGCCGGGGTGGGTAGGTAAAAGTTACAGGTGTTCCCCATGGCCCACTTTGGGATGTGTTTCCCCCACCCCGGGGTGTACTGAAGCAAGGGGTGTCTTTCTGGGTGTTTGCAACGTGTCTGCATGTTTCTCTCTCCATTTCTCTTCCCCACTTCCTTTCTCTCTTTTCCCCCTTGCCTTCTCTCTCCTCCCTCCCTCTCTCTCCTTCCCCCCACCTTTCTCTCCTTTTTCACATATTCTCATTCAGTAGGAAGGAAACTGTATTTGAGGAATGCCACACCTTTAACATGCACAGAAAACACTGGCACTCCCTTGCCCAAGGGCTTCTGAGCACACTTGTAAGTCTAAGGGAAGGTTTCCTTGGAACATTGGGAAGGAGCTTGGCACCTCCTGGGAGCCCGGTGCTGCCCACCAGTTTGCTTTACATTGTTTCAGGGGTACAGGATGGAATTTGCACTCTTTCGCTTGTTTTTACTGTCGTGGCCAGCTTGCCCTCCTTCCCTCCTTCCCTCCCTCCTCCACTCCTTCCTTCCTTTTTCCCTTCCTTCCTTCCTTCCTTCCTTCCTTCCTTCCTTCCTTCCCTCCGTCCTTCCCTCTCTCCTCCACTCCTTCCTTCCCTCTTCCCTTCCTTCTGTCCTTTTCTTTCTCCCTCCCTACTTCCCTCCCTCCCTCCCTCCTTCCCTCCCTCACTTCCTTCCCCCTTTCCCTCCTTCCCTCTTTCCCTCTTTCCCTCCTTCCTTCCTTCCTTCCTTCCTTCCTTCCCTCCTTCCCTCCCTCCTTCCCTCCTTTCCTCCCTCCCTCCCTCCTTCCTTCTTTCCTTCCTTCCTTCTCTCCTTCCCGTCTTCTTTCCCTCCTTCCCATCTTCCTTTCTTCCCTCCATCCTTCCTTCCCTCCTTCCTTCTCTCCTTCCTCCTTCCTTCCCTGCTTCATTCCCTTCTTCCATCTCTCCTTCCTTCCCTCCTTCCTTACTTAACTTCTCTCCTTCCATCCCTCCCTCCTTCCTATCCTCCCTCCCTCCCTCCCTCCCTCCCTCCCTCCCTCCCTCCCTCCATCCTTCCTTCCCTCCTTCCTTCTCTCCTTCCTCCTTCCTTCCCTGCTTCATTCCCTTCTTCCATCTCTCCTTCCTTCCCTCCTTCCTTACTTACTTCTCTCCTTCCATCCCTCCCTCCTTCCTATCCTCCCTCCCTCCCTTCCTCCTTCCTTCCTTCTTCCCTTCTTTCCTTCCTTCATTTCCTCCTTCCTTCCTCCCCTCCTTACTTCCTCTCTTCCACTCTCCCTTCCTCCCTTCTTTCCTCCCTCCCCACCCCCACCCCCACAAGGACTTTTATGAGTCATATTAAAAAGTCAATGACCTGAGGCTAGGGGCTATGTTTGCCTTTCATGTGACCAACCCAGGTTTGAGCTCAAGCATCCCATATGGTCGGTCCCCTGAGCACTGCCAGGAGTAATTCCTAAGTGCAGAGCCAGGAGTAACTCCTGAGTATCTACAGGTATGCTCCCAAAATAAACAAATAACAAGCCAATGTCTTTGGTACTGAATTTTGACACTGGTTTAAATCTGCAGAGTCAGAAGCAGGCAAGGGCCTCACTGGGATGGGATTTCTGTGTCAATTTTCCCCAGGGATTCTGGCCCCTTCACACACCCGCCCTGGTCATTGTTCCATACTCTGTAGGTCCGGCCAGTTATAGTTAGTACTTGAACTTTTCATCATTTATCAAACTGACATTGACTACCTTATTTTGGCTACATGGCAACTATGGCCACCTCTGATCTTATAGCTAAATATAGATTCTCGTGTGAAACCGATCACGATACATCCTCCTTAGGACCTCCGGGTCTCACTAGAACAGGCTTCTTCGTGTGCAATGTGCATGTTTTGACTAGGGTTAAAATTCTGTTTGGGTTTGGAGTTAACCAGCAAGCAACCATTGCTGAACTGTGGCGACTCCCTTTCCATGAACACTGTCGCCAACCTCTCACTTGCATGACCTTGAAGTTGGGGGCCGCTATTTTTCTTCTGTGGGGAGTTCTCTCCCCTCCCTGTCTCTGTGCAGTCGGGTCTCTTCCTCTCAGAGAGTTAGTTCTTCCAACCCAGTGCAACTCATGGGCACCCCAGATAGAGCAGAACCTGTGAAAATTGTGGACAGATGTGGTGGTGGCATATGGTCGAGAGCATGATCAAATTCGTCCCTTACATCTTGGCTGATTGGCATGGTGGAGAAGTGCTGATTCAGGACCTAAATGATATCATCAAAGTTTCCTACAAATAAGCAGTTCTGGAGAAAAAAAAGAAAGTGCAGACTTTTCCTGGATCTTTTTACTCATCAGTTAGAAGACCAGAGGGTGCATAGGCAGAAGTAAAAATCATTTAAGAATCTTAGAATTTTAGAGCAGGAAATGACATATACCCCAAATTTTGAAGTGTACGTATCTGTAAAAATGCTGCTTTATCTTTCCTTGTATTTTTTTTTAAATAAGAGGACTCACACTTCCTTAATCTAGCCATGATTTATAATGCAAACCAGTTAGGAAAAATTTAAATTTGCGCATCATTCTGCCTCACTTTCTCCATTACCATCAAAACAATTAGGGTAGAGCAGCCAAAGGAAAGGAAAATATTGTTTGCTCTCTAGTAACTGAATGAGGCCTCATGATGCAATGTGTGCAGCACTGACAAATATATGTGTTTACGTGAACTGTGTTCATATTTTATTTAGTTGTTAATACACAGCAAAAGATTTCACCTTTATTCTAGAGCCAATTAGGATTTAGGAAAGTGTTTTCTTCGATGCCTCTAATCATGCTGCAAAAACAAGTGGGTGCGTGTTTCCCCGCAGGTAGTCCGAGCCTACTTTTCCACCCCAGTACTTGAGTTGAATTTGTCTTTTGCTAAAGATGTTAAAAATCGTAATGTCTCGTGTCAGTAGCAATAATGAAGGGGAAGATTGGCTTTCATGACATTAAGAGAATCATTATGTTTAATTTATTGCTAATTAATGCTGACAGGTTTCATATGCCTCGAGTTGCTTTCATGCGAGTGTTCTGCGCTTGTTGTATTTTTTTTTCTTTTCTTCTTTTTAAATGTGTGTACGCATTTCTCCCCATTCATTCATTTTAATTCTGACGATTTACACAGCTTTCTGTCTTCTAGGTTTCCCCCCCATATGGTCCCACCACACCACACTCTCCACACGACCGGCATTCCCCACCCGGCCATAGTCACGCCGACCGTCAAACAGGAATCCTCCCAGAGCGACGTGGGCTCGCTCCACAGCTCGTAAGTGTTGCCCTTGGGGTCGCCGTCCCCTTGACACCCGTGGCTAGTCAAGGGCCTCTGCAGTGGCTGCTGAGTGGTGGCTGGCCCTGGGGTTAGCTGTGCTATTTGACCCTGGCAGGCTGGGAGTGGCCTGGGGTGGCGGGGAGGGGTGCAGCAGTGCTGAACCCTTACCCAAACTCCCAGCACACTCCCAAGGAAGAAAGGATGGAGCAGAACACCTAAGTCCACCTTCCCTTGGTTTCCATCAACGGTGGCCCATGGAACGAGGTGCCCCAAGCCAGTCAACCTTCACGGCCTGGTTATAGTTAAATGGTTATCATTCATTGTTTAAGGTAAACTTTATGAAGTTTATCACAGGTATAAAGGTAGAGGGGGGGAAAGTAGAAGATGCAACCAACCCTCAGTAATCTCAGCACCTGTTGGGAAGGGGGGCGTCTGGGGACTTCCCCCTGCAGACAGGAAGAGACCCCTCCCCGCCCAGGGCTGGGCTGGAGTTGGCGCCACCCACTTCCTGTCCTGTATGCTTTCTTGGGGGATGGGGGGAGGTCTGTGCTGCAGCCTCCCGAGGCACATACCCCGAGGGTCCCACCACTGTGAGTGCTCCCTGCCAGCTTGGGAAAACTGGTGAAACTGGAGGAAGTGACGGAAGCACATTCTCCTTCTCCCCCACTCCTCCCAGACCACTTCTCCTCCACCAGGCCGGGGTGCATAAGACCCCCAAGTGGAAGCATTGCTTCTGGTTACAAACTCAACTGGCCTCGGGTGAGCGGGAAGGCAGAAGAGGGCCCCTGTGCCGGGGAGGAAGTGGAGTTGTGCGCAGCCTTCAGCGTTGTGTCTCTCCCTCTCATCCCTATCCAGAAAGCATCAGGACTCCAAAAAGGAAGAAGAGAAGAAGAAGCCTCACATAAAGAAACCTCTTAACGCGTTCATGTTGTATATGAAGGAAATGCGAGCGAAGGTCGTAGCTGAGTGCACGTTGAAAGAAAGTGCCGCTATCAACCAGATCCTTGGGCGAAGGGTAGGTTGCCCGCCCCCTGGGACAGGGCGGGGGGGGGATCCAGAACTTGGGCAGAGCTTTGGGGGTGAGCAAGCATCTGCCTTTGCTGGGAGAGCCTTTCCTGCCCTCCCTTTTCTCCTTCAAATGACCTTTCTGGATCAGGACCCATACCTCCATCAGTGGGGGGCCACTCATGCCCCCCTCAGCCCCAGAGAGAAGGGGTGCATGTGGTGGGCACACGCCAGGGGCAGCTCAGCTCTGGGGGGATTCCTCCCGTTAGCAGCAGCTTGCTGGACTCTGCAGCAAAAGTGCGTTCATCCCTGCCGTGATGGACTCTGATTGCCTCCCCTGCCTCCCCTGTTCTCACCCACACTGTCGCCCTGCAGTGGCACGCGCTGTCTAGAGAAGAGCAAGCAAAATACTACGAGCTGGCCCGGAAGGAGCGACAGCTTCACATGCAGCTGTACCCTGGCTGGTCCGCACGGGATAACTACGTATGTACATCTCTTCATGTTGGGGCTGAGTCTATAGCATCAATACTGGCATGGACAGGGAAAGCGGTTGCCTCCCGGCTTGAACCAGGCCTCAGTTCCATCAACCTGCTGACTTCTGGGTGGTTGGAGCTCTTGCCCCAGCTCCCAGCAGGCAGGGGCTGCAGAGGCATATGGTAGATACCCAGATGGAGGATGGAGGAGTTCCAACCTGGGCCCCAGGTGGCCAGCAGGAGGTGGTCCAGGCGCTCCTGACAACGTCTTTGAAGAGATGTCCCAGGATTCATTCAGTAGGGCTGGTGTACTTGGATTGAGGTTTTCCGTGCTTCTCTAAGGGAGGAACTTGCAGGAAGGACTGATGGGTGGGTGTTGAGAGTTGAATTCCATGCCACTCTCCAGCAGGGCCTTCACCTGTGGAGGGAACAGAGGACACCCTTGCCTTGTGTTGTGATGTTAGAGAACTTGGAAACTCCTTTGGCCTGGAGAGGGGCATGATGGGAATATCTCTGAAGGACCCAGAGGAAGCCATGGAGACTCAGGCAGGATGGAGCAGGGTGGCCGTGTGTGTTAGTGGGACTCTGAGGGTCCATCATTCTATCCCTCCTGTGAATTGGCTTTTCTCCGAAGCCCCCCATCACCCACTCTCCCCCTCCCTGCTCAGCATTTTGCCTGTTTGTGTATGTTTAAGGCTCGTTGTCCTCCCACTGGAGAGAATGCCCCTTGTTTTTGCCTGGTGCTTTGTCCCCTGACACCTGGCTTTATGTCATGATTTGACTGTCCACTCAGCTGTGGAAAAACAGACCTCGTCTTCCTGCCGTAGCTGACTCTTCTTCCAGTGACTTGGAGCCTAGGAGACTCTCTGGCCCCGGGCTCCTGCCCAGCCCACCAAGGGGTAGTGAAGAAATTCTTTGTGTATGTGGGTTGGGATCTGTTTGGTTATCTGGGTGCTTAGTGTAGACCCAGTATGGGGGTGATTTTTTTTATTTTTGGTTTGGTTTGGGGCAACGCCTGACTGTGCTCAGGGCTTACTCCTGGCTTTGCGCTCAGGGATCACTCCCAACGGACTTAGGGGAAGAGTATGGAGTACTGGGAAATCGAACCTGGGTCAGCCACGTCCAAGGCAACTACCCTACCTACTGTGCTATCGCTCTGCAGCCCCAGGGGAGCCACTTTCTGCCTGTTGTGCTTCATCAGTTTCCCTTTCTGCACTCGGAGACCTTGAACATGCATGTTCTAAGATCTATTCTCTGTCAGGCAGGTGAGGAGAGAGGTGATTCCTTGTCGAGTCCATCCACATTTTGGTTACTGTCCTCACCACCTCCCTCAAGGTCCCTTCACCATCATCCACCTCCTGGTGGACCAGAAATGTATGGTGACCTGTTGACTCTGTGCAAACTCCTGGTCACTCACACATGGGCATATCCAGGGTGTTAGCTGCCTGAGACCTTTCCCCGGGTCCTCAGTGTGGGTGCGGTGGGCCATCTTCTGAGCTGGAGGTCAGGGATGTGAAACCACTCCCCCAGGCTCCAGTATCCCACCTCTGTGGCATGTCCAGCTGTAGATACAGGCAGACTTATAGGAAGACTCACTCTCAGCCTCTGTGCTACCTGCTGCCTCTCTGGCAGGGTGGACACGCTCCTGGTTTAGGGTCTGAATTTCTTGGTGATCCCCTCCGGATACTCCCCGCTCCAAACCTGGTTCTCAGAACAGTCTAGAATGGTGCACAGGAGCTGGGGAGATAGTATAGTGGGTAGGGTGCTGGCCTGACACCCAGTTAACCTGGGTTGGATTCCCAGCACCACATAGGGTCCCCCTAAGCCCTGCCAGGAGTGAATCTCTGAGTACAGAGCCAGGAGTGAGCCCCGAGCACCATTGGGCATCACCCCAAAACAAACCAAAAAAATATATAGAATAAATTTTAAAAAAATGAAGAGGGGCTCAGCCGCCCTCCGGAAAGCATAGGCCCTGCAGACACTTTCTGCGGGGGTCCCAAATGTTGCCCGGGGCCTAAGGTGACTGACTAGGGTAACTCAGTCAGCTTGGCCAGAAGTGAAGATGGGTGCTGGGGACTGCTCCGTCATGGTCGCTGCTCTGGGTCCACACCTGGAGGCCACACAGTGCTAGGGAAGGCCCCAGGAGGCAGTTGCCCAAGCTCCGCGTTCTCCTGTCCCACTGCTGTGGAGCATCTAAGGGCCTGCCTGCCCTTCACCCCACAGTCTGTGCACAGGGTGCCCCCAGCACCACTGAGTCGTGCAGGGCCAAGTCCCCACAGAGGTAAAAGGCAGCTGCGGGAGCTTCAAAAGGAGGTCACAGCTGACCCGCCTGGGAGTCAGTTAGATGGGGACTGACGGAGCCTTTGTGAAGTGCTTTCAGACTGCCGGTGAGCCAGCAGGCTCTGGAAAGGGCTCGCCTCAGTTTCACCTATGGAAGGAAGAGGCTTGGTGTATCAGGGGATCCCTGGTGACTTGTGAGGGGGAGTTTGGGGGGTAAATCTGGATGTGGGGGACGTAGAGGAGCTTTTATTCCCTTGAAGGGTCAGAATGAGTCAGGGTTCATGGAGGTGAACACACACACACACACACACACACACACACAACCTCCTCTTTCCATGTTTGCTTACACACACACACACACACACAACTCTCTACCCTCCATGCCTTTTTACATACACACACACACACACACAAAACTTCCTCTCTCCATGCCTGCTTACACACACACACACACACACACACACACACACACACACACACACACACTCCTCCCCCCTCCCTCCATTTCTTCATCTCCGTCCCTCTATGCTTACTTCTCTCCCTGCCCGGAAACAGTGTGAATCTCGAAACAGACATGAGGCTTTCCTGGATCTGATGCTGGAGGAAACTTGTCAGAATTTTCCCTCCTTTGTGTATCTTGAGAAGGCACTTCTGGAAAGAAAAGCGGTGTGTCAGGGAGCTGGCTCAAAGACCCGGAGCTTGTGCATGCGGGCACCCTGGGTTTGACTGCCAGGTATGGCCAGAACAAATAGAAATGACTTTGGTCATGGCTACATCCAGAAATCTCTTCTGGGACATGTTTTGTGAAGTAACTTTCTGACCCCGTCATGATTCTGCTTTCCTGGCCAAGGGCTGGCAGAAGTCTTGCTGGCACTAGGGAGTCATGTGAAACCCATTTGGGTTGTCCAGCGAGGCCCGCTTAAGAGCACAGGGAAAAAACATGGGGTCCCCAGTGACAGCTCAGTCCTGGCACGAATTACTCCTTTGTTTCCTTTTTGGCACTGCTGTGGTTTATGTAGAGGAAAGAAAGTCCATTTGCCCTGGCAGGGGTTACCCCCTTCTCCACTTCCATCTTAGTTCTTTTTATTCCTTGTTTTTTTTGGGGGGGGGGCTATGTCCAGCATTGTTCGGGGCTGACTCCTGGCTCTGTGCTCAGGGATCACTCCTGGAAGACCCAGGGGACTATATGGGATACTGGGTGTCGAACCCAGTCTGTGTACAAGGGGAGTGCCCTACCTACTATCTTTGTTGGGTTGTTGTTTCTGGTGGGAATCTCCTTCTGGTGATATAGGCCATTGGTTCACTGTGAGTCCTCAGGGCATGGTGCTGCTCAGGCTGAGTGCTGGTGGTGCCTTGGACCGCCCCAGCAATGCTAACAGACTTCTGGGGCCACACCAAGGTCCTCAGTGTCCTCCAAGGCTGTGATGCTCAAGAACCTTATGGTTTTGGGGGGTCAAATCAGGGTTGGCCACTGGCTTAGCATGTGCTCTAACCACTATACTATCTTTTTGGTCTTCTTGTCAGGTTTGGGTTTTTTTTTGTTGTTGTTGTTTTGTTTTGTTTATGCTTTTTGGGTCACACCCAGCATTGTACAGGGGTTACTACTCCTGACTCATGCACTCAGGAATTACTCCTGGTGGTGCTCGGGAAATCATATGGGATGCTGTGAACCGAACCTGGGTCGGCCGCATGCAAGGCAAATGCCCTACCCGCTGTGCTATACTCCAGCCCCCTTCTTGTCAGTTTTAAAGAGATAATAGAGCCAGCCTCTTCCGTCTTCGTGAAGTAGCATTTAGTAGTCTCCTTATTGGAACCTTATTAGAACTCCCTTCAGTTCTCTTCCAAGTAAAAAATAGGCACAGGATACAGAGTGTCTTTTCGTCTTCCTGATACTTCCCTCAGTCCCAAATGGCTCAGTCATACACCAAAACCAGCAGCTTTCCATAGGAAGTGCAGTTTTGTGTTTCCTCTCAGATTACCCAAGGCAGGAAGTGGGTGAACTCTGCATTGATGTCACCCGGAAGTTCTTGGTCTGTACCTCAGCACCACTTGTGGGTCTGGCTAAGTTTTAACCTCGGGCCCTGCCTGTTCCAAGGTGGCCGGTGACCTTTGACTCAGAGAGGTACAGGCTTGGAGAGGGGGCAGGGGGTGACACTCAGGGAAAGGTACAGGAATTCAGGGGTACATTAAGGGTCACAAAATGTTCCATGCAGAAACACAAAAGGCCGGGTCCGGAGTGATAGGTAGAGCATTGGCCTTGCACATGGCTGACCAGAGTTCGATCCCTGGCATCCCATATGGTCCCCTGAGCACCACCAGGAGTGATCCCTGAGTGCAGAGCCAGCAGTAAGTCCTGAGCACAGTCCGGTGTGACACAAAAACCAAAACTAAGGAAAGAAAAATGCAGAAGGCCATGACATTTCTCCTCGTAGGTCCCACCGTCAAATACACAGAGCAGGAAAGAGGGACCTTCTTGGGGATCAACGCTGCTGTCCCCCTGGGTGGAGCTGAAACAGGGGCGCCTTTGCCTGGCCCTCACCCCCAGAGCTGCAGGAGTTCTGGCCCTTCCCCCTCACACACTGCGCTTCTTTTCTTCCTTTTTTTTTTTCTTTTTCTTTTCGGGTCACACCAGCAATGCACGGGGGTTACTCCTGGCTCTACACTCAGGAGTTACTCCTGGCAGTGCTCAGGGACTATATGGGATGCTAGGAATCGAACCCGGGTCGGCCACATGCAAGGCAAATGTTCTACCCGCTGTGATATCACTCCAGCCCCTGCTCTTTGTTTCTGACACTGACCTTGCCCTACTAGGAGAACCTTCCGGCACAATTACATTTGAGACATTCCGAAACAAGTCCGATTTTCCATCTCCCGGGCTACCTGGCGACAGAGCACCCAGAGCGGGGTGGAGATCAGGATGAGCCGGTTTCCTCTCGGGCATGAGTCCTCCCCTCTGCGGGGTCCTCCCCTCTCCCCTTGCACACCCGCTTCCCAGAGACACGCGAGGGCCAACGAGATCCCTTAGGGTCAGGTTGGAGAATGTGACTGATCCCTGCTATGAATCCATCTCCGTCCGCAATGCAAACCCTTCCGGGGTGGGTGAGCCCTGGAATAGGCAGGTGGCCGGGGGGTCCCCTTGAGTGAGGGCTGGACAGCCAGCCTTGCTGTGTCTGTACCCCAACTCGTCTTGCCTGGACTTGTGTATCTGCTCAGGGCAGTCAGATGACACCCATGCCTCGTAGTGTGTAAAATCGGGCATGGGACCCCATGCTTGCCTGCTGCACCCTGAGTCTGGTGCCCGGAAGAGTGGGCTGGAGCTCCTCTTCCGCTTCCTCAGGGGGTACACTCAGGAAGAGAGCCGGTGGCCATGGTCTGGCCGTGCTACCTCTCCCAGCCCTGCCTCTCCACACCTCCCCGGCTTCCTGCATCCCCCGTCCCCTTACATGGGATGCTTGAGTCAGCTTTGAGGATGGACCTCGGATGGACACCCGGGACAAGAGGCCCTTTTCCTACACTCGCTCTGTCCCTGCTCCTGCTCGGAACGTGATCAAGGACATTTGGGATGAAAAAAAAAAAGAGGGAGGTTGGGGCAGGATGGAAGCACCCAGGGGTGTGTTGGGAGGGATAGGGTCCTTCCCAGGTGAGCTCACCTGCCCCCTCCCGCCTGGTCCTGGAAGTAATTTGCCTGTTTCCCTCTGTTCATCTAGGGGAAGAAGAAGAAGAGGAAAAGGGACAAGCAGCCGGGAGAGACCAACGGTGAGTTAGAGTAATGTGGATGGAGGAAGGCCGTGGTGAGCTTTGCTCTTGTGCGCTAGGGCTTCTCTCTGGGGGAGGCAAGAGAAATTCAAGGCCAGGAGATTGTGGGGGAACCCATCTTAGCCAGCCCTTTTTTTGTTTATGCCTTTTAATTAATCGCTTCATGACTGCCCTTTTAAAGCTAGTAACATTCATTGTTGCATGAAAAGCACATTGTAATTCTAGTGGAATGTGTTTTTAAATCACAGCGCAGGCTGTAACTGGAGAGGTAGGCCTGCCTCTGGGACTTTTGCAGGCTGCTGCTTTTGTACGGATTTGAGGAGGGCTGAGGAGGGGGCGAGAGGCCTAGGAGGGGGTGTGTGAGTGTTCGCTATGAACTGGGCTGTTCCTGAATGTTCCGATGCATGCCTTTACAGTGGTAAATTGCACCCGATTTAAATTAAGGAGGTTTGTCATTTTCTAGAAGAAAGTAGAAATACTGCATAAGCAATCTCAGAGACCCCTTGGAGAAGGCCAGGCTTTTACAAACAACAACATTTTGAAGGCTTTGTATAATTTGTTCTTTTTTTTCAGAACACAGCGAATGTTTCCTAAATCCTTGCCTTTCACTTCCTCCGATTACAGGTGCTAATGTCATTTTGAGTCATTAAAATAGTTGATAAACTGTTTTTTAATTTTCCTTGCCATAATAGTTTGATTAACATTAAACACGTATGACATTTGAACATTCTTTAAAATGACCATCTACACGGTTTCGTATGTTTCTGTAGATTTTTTTTTAGTTGCTTTTGTTGTTTTTTTTTTTTAATTTGATTTAACTTCTGCTTTGTTTATTTATTTTTCCCATAACCGTTGTTTAAAGCAGTGATGACAGTGACTTAGAGTTGAACTAACTGTGCAAATTGAATATGCAGTATTTCTTTAAAAGAGACTGGTAAAGAAAGAAAGAAAAAAAAAGCCAAAATGGAAGGAATTCAGTAATAAACCTCCTTAATCTAATGGCATTTTTTCATTGCTCCCACTAAGTTTTCTCACGCCAAGCATGCATCCGCAGTATGATTTTTTTCTTCTTCTTTTTTTTTTAATTTGGTTTATTTTCTTTCTTTTGCTTTTCTGCTCATAATTCACAAATCACTGGCATTTACTGACTACCTGCTTCATGCTGCTCTGAGCTTCTCACTAACCCCTAATAGCTCATTCACAAGCCTCTGGTCTGTCACCTGTTCCTCTCAATATTAACGAAAGTAGATTTTTAAAAAAAGACAAGACGAGCATTCCAAAAGCTGCAATATCCCAGTACCACAACCCTTTTCTTTCTTTATTTCTTTCTGTTTTGTTTCATTTTGTTCTGTTTTTGTTTGTATTTTTTTTCTTTTTTTTTAAAACTGTTACCCTCTAAGAAGGAAAAAAAAAAAGAAAAGCATGTTACAAACTTAATTCCCTCCCTCGCTTTACTTTCTTCTTTAAGAGAAACAAATTGAGAGGAAAATAAAAAATAAAAAAATTTTAAAAATTTAAAAAAAAAAGAACAAAAGGTTTGCAGAACCCAGAGAGAAAAAAAAAAGATCTCTGGAAAAGGTCACTGTTTGCTGTCTAACTTCCCTTTATCAGCTCGAACTGAATCTGAGAGACAGTCTTTAAAGAAGGGATACTGCAGCTTTATTTGCAACAGCTAATTTCACAAGTTGACTAAGAATGTGATTTTTACCTTTTTTTTTTCTTAAATTAAAGAAAGTTAAAAATCGAAAGTCGATATTTTGTCATTAGTAACCAGGTCATTGATTTATTCCCTTTTTTATTTTTATTTTTTTCTTATTTGTATCTTTCTCTCCCCCCTTCCCTCTCTCTCCCTCTCCTTCTCCCTCTTTCTCTCTCTCCCTCACTCTCTCCCACGTCTTCCTCCTCTTCCTCCTCCTCCTCCTCCTCCTGCTCTTCCTCCTCCTCCTCCTCCTCCTCCTCCTCCTCCTCCTCCTCCTCCTCCTCCTCTGCTCGCTTCTTTCTTGAACTCATTCAGACCTGAGCGCTCCTAAGAAATGCCGAGCGCGCTTTGGCCTTGATCAACAGAATAACTGGTGCGGCCCTTGCAGGTGTGTATAGATCCCAGATTCGCTGTGCTGGTTTGCAGCTGGTCTCTTTCCGCCCTTCCCCCTTCTGGCCTGTTGCTTGGTAGCTCTGTGTGTGGACTGTAGGGAACACGAGGGCGCGGGGCACTGCCAAGTGCGACGGGGCTGTGTGAGGGGTATGCTTGTTCCCCCCCGCTGCTGCTAGCCAAAATGCCACTGTAAAACAGCATCCTTTGTGCATCCTTGGGTGAGCGACAGCCAGCCCCAGCGCGCCCCTCCCAGGGAATGTGGCCTGCCTGCCAACCCCTCCTCCCGACAGCCCGGGACGGGGCTCAGTGACCTCCTTCGTCAGCTGGCCTAGGTAGACGCCAACAACGTCACCTTTCCCCTCCTCTTCTCTCTCTCTTTTTTAAATTTATTTTTTTTTCCTTTTTTTTTTCCTTTTTGTTTTTGGTTTCTGGTTTTCTTTTTGGTTTTGGTTTTTATTTCTTTTTGTTGTTGGTTTTTTTTTTTTGGTTGTTGTTGTTTTATGTGTTTTATCGTTTTTATTTTATGTTGTTCTTTTGGCTCATAGCAGTCCTTTTCTTTCACGTCCTTGGTGAGGGAAGATAAATAGCACCAGGTGATAGAGAAGACCAGTCAGCCGTAGCTGAGATTTCACGTCCAACTGAGCACGACCCACCATTGTGTTGTATTTTTTGTGTTTACCTTATGCTAACAGATGCAAATACTCCAAAGAAGTGTCGGGCACTGTTCGGGCTTGACCGACAGACTTTATGGTGCAAACCATGCAGGTATATTACCACTGTGAGGCCTTTGGGAAAATCAAAGCGTTCTGTCCTTCTGGTACCTTCGAGGGTCAAGCTATTTTGACCTCGCTCCCATCTACTTTCTCCCTGGCATCAATGACTAATGACCCTCACTCTTCCAAATTCCCTTGCTAATTTTATGCCTTGTCCGTTCCCCACTTTCTCTTTCTCTCTCTCTCTTCCCCCACAGCCCCTGCTCTTACAAATAAACAGATCCTCAGGCCCCCAGTGCTAGGACTGAGAGCTCCCCCGTACCCACCCACCCACCCACCCAACACCCACACACACTCCATCTGCCCCACCTCACCTGGCCAGGACAGATACTTTCTTAGCTTTTTGCTTTGCAAGCCAGCACCCAGGAACTGGACCCCTGTGCTGAACCCACACCCCCACCCCCAACCCCACCCTCACCCCGCCCCCTGCCAGCCCCTTTCCCTGAGGTTTGAAGGAGCTGAGCTGAACCCTGGCTTCGGCACTCCCGTGCATTGCCATCAGACGCTTGGAGAAGTGCTCGGGGCAGGCTTTTTTTGGTTCTGTTTCGTTTCGTTTTCGTTTTCTGTTTACAAACCACACGTCTCTGTACGGAGGAGCTTGGTTAGCTGACATTGTTTTACAGAGCTGACAAAGAAGCGTGGCATTGAACGGCATGCAGGCAGGGAGGCCTGCAGTCCTGATGGCAGAGTCCAGAATGCCTACAGGAGGGGAAACATACATAAGCAGGGAGAGAGGGACGAAGCATCAGTTCCCCCCCAATAACCCCCAAATGATGAGAGAAATGCCCACATACAAAAGTCCCCCGTGTCCCCTGCAGGTCTCCATTCAGCCCGTGATTCCAGGGAAGGCGCAGGCTAACTCCCTTCTTGGTGGAGGGCTGCCCACTAGTTCCTGTCTCTTTTTCCTTCCCTTTAATGACCATTTTGGTTAAATTTGTTGTTTCTTTGTTCTGATACAAGCAGTCTTTGAATTTGGAATATTATGATGGTAGGTATCTCAACCCCGCGACCCCCCTCCCCCCAACACGCCTCCCTGTTTGTTAGTGATCCCGTGTCACGTGTCCCTCTCTCCATGCCTCTGCCATGTGTTGCGTGTTTAGACGTTAGATCAGATGTCCATCCCATTATGTGCATGCCCACGAGTGTCCCGTGTCTCTTCCCTCCGCCCTGACCAGCCTTGATGAGAGCTCGGTAAAGTAGCTTGTATTGACCAGTTGTTGAGGGAATGCCTCCCCACGCCCACCCCATATCCCCCGACACCTCTGACCACCGAGTGAGGACCCAGGGTCTGGGGACAGGACAGGACATCTCCGCTGATTCTGTGAGATGACAGCGTTCACACCATCCAGTCTCACCACTGTGCAGCAGCAGAGAGTTTGGGGAGGCTGAGGGAAGACATTAACTTACTGAGGAGCGGGAGAGGCGACCTCTCGCTGGGCAGTGTGATGGTCTGGGATCTCCTGGGGGTTGAGTGACTAGGGACCTGGTGGTGCAGCCTTGGAGGCCTGCTCTAGAGAAGGATTAGCTCCCCTACGGCCACCCCGCCCTAGGAAGCGTCTCCTCCCCATCCTCGTCCCTCTTTCCCCTGGGGTGCCCTGCACCCCGGGGTTCACATCCACCGCGCGCTTTGTTTGTGTGAGTGGTGGGAGTGAGTGGTGGTAGATGAATCCCTTTTTTCTTTCAGAAGCAATTTCTTCCCTCCCCCCCCCACCACCCGAAAGTTGTCATTCCTGCCATTAGCCAGACAGACATAAACCCGTCACAGACGCAGCCCACACCTTGCCAAAAATACTTGGGGTGGGGGTGGGGGTATGGTATGAGGCTTTCGCTCAGAGACCAGATTTGTTTGACCGTCTTACTGAGAACAGATGCCGGCCACTGGAGCTCTGATGGTTGTTAGCAACATGATTTTCTAGAGTGGAGCTGGGCACAGAGGCAGAGTGGGGGTTGGTTGTCAGTGGGAACTCAGAAGTCCCAGGATCCAGCACCCTTAGAAAGCTCTTTGGGTGGCCTTTTTTCTCCGGGGGGGGGGGGGAGGGTGGTATTTTTCCATATACCTCAAAAGCTTTATCACAAATGCGCTTGTCACTCCATGAAGGGTGTATTTCACAACAGGATCAGGAAGGAGCCTGAGTTCTCTTCAGAATAAATCCACCAGAAGCTAAAAGTGGGGTTGTCAGAGGCCATCCCCTGGTTGGGGATAGGCATAGGTGGGGAGGATTGGAGGAGAAGGCTTGTCCCACCGACCACCCCCTCTCCCCTTTCCCCAGCTTTGCCAGGAGCTAACAGTGCTAAACTGAGAAAGACAACGTGGGTTTTAAAGGAAACACAGTGGCAAAACAAGGCTTTTTTTTCCAGCAGAAATGTGTGCGTGTGTGTGTGTGTGCATGTGTGTGTGTGTGTGTGTGTGTGTGTGTGTGTGCGCGCGCTCTCACTTACCTTTGGCTTGACTGCTGCTTAGAAAGGAGCGTGGCTTGTGGCTTGTCATTCACAGTCTCCATGTTCCCAAGTGCAGTGTCCCACTTGTCCCCATGGGCCTGGAAACTTCCTTGTCGTTGAAGGGGAAGGCGGGAGGGAACCCCAGACCCTCTCCTGAAACCAGCCTGGGCTCCTCCCTGGCTCTGCGCAGGGCCTCTGATTTTACTTGAGGACGTTTGAACAAGATTTTTCTGTTTTGAGCCCACCAAGTTGCTTCCCCCTCTTCCGGCTCTGCCCTCGTGCAGCATGCAGGGCTGCTTCCTGTCCTCCCTGCCTTCCTCCTGGCCCCTCCCTTCCTCCTCTTCCTCCTCTCACTTGTCCCTGTTGCTTTTTTCAGTTTTGCTGATACCCGCTCCTGGTCCCCAGCCCTCTTCCCTCTCCCCGCCCCCCCCCCCCATTTCTTTTTTAAGTGCATGAACATCTTAGTTTTTTCAGCATGTTTTGATCTGCAGACTAAGGTGGTTTAAAACTCTTTCGAGGCGAAATTATTTATCTCGGGTTTCCTGGGATGGGAGCAGAACCTACAGGCTATCCCAGAAGAGGAAGAAGGGGATGATGGGGGCTGAACTCATCCCCCCTCCCCCCATCCCTAGTTCCTTCCCACCCAGCGTGGGAACCAGTAGACTCTGAGGGTCTTTGCTCAGTGGGTGTCCACCTCTGGAAGGCCAAGCATGTCCCTCCCACCTCCTCACCCCCGCTTCTCCCCTGCTCCTGCTATTTTGCTGAGTCCATGGCCCAGACACTGGGTGGCATGATCTGAGGCCAGGCCCTAGGAGGAAGTCCCTTCTTTTCCAAGGAAGTCAGTGACAGCTGACAGCAGTCACCCTCAGCCCAGAGGCAGCGAGTTGCTTTCCTGCAGTGGTGAGCCGGCCGGCACGCACACAGTATTTTCATAGCATGAGTGCTATGACTGGGTTCTGACTCTAGACCTCCGCAGACCAGCATGTTCGCACAGTATTTTCATAGCATGAGTGGGGTGGGGCCCCCCGCCTCACCTTTTCCTGCCGAGTCTCGGCCCATCGGTCTGGGATTAATCATAGGGAAAGCCGCGAGGTCACATAACTCGATTTCTTGAATTGATTTCCCCACCTTTGATGCAGAGCACGAAGCGTGGGAGTTCTCGTCCCTGTTTCTTCATAAACGGGAGGTGGGGCAGGGAGAGTCTGGTGTTGGGGTAGGGCCACTGGAGTCTCTCTGGTTTCTGCCCTCATCACTGCGCCCGATCCCAAGAAGGTCTGTCCTGCGATCCCCTTGCACTTCTTGTCACCTCTTGTGACATACTGCACCCCACCCGCCTCACCCCTCCAGCCCCCCCACCCCCGCCGCCTTGGCGTACGCGCAAGATCCGAAGTCCCCTTCATTCCATCCTCACTGTCTCTCCTTCCAGCCTTCTCCCGGTGGGGCAGGGGAGGGGAGGACCCCAAATCTTGGGGGAGGAGGGTGATCAAGATTGAATCATAATTGAATCCACAACCTGCAGGCCATACAACCAGTTATTCTCGTTCCTTTGGGTCATTTTCTGTTTTTTCTTATTCTTCCCCCCTCCCCTGCCTTTGTTTATCCTCTTCTACCTGTTTTTCGGTGGTTTTTGAAATTTTGTTTTGTTTTTGTTTCCGAGTTTTTGGTTTTGGTTTTGTTCTTTGGTTTGTTTTTTTGGTTTCGTTTTGTTTTATTTTCGTTCCCCCCCCACCCCCACCCCCCTTCCACCTGATTCTGACCTCTCTTGATTTGGTGTGGTTCTTAACAGACAAGCCCGAAAGCTCTCCAAACGGTGGTGGTGGTGGCGGTTGGTGGCGGTGGTGGTGGTGGTGGTGGCGGCGATGGTGGTGGTGGTGGTGGCGGTGGTGTGGGGTGGAGGTTGAAACACTTTTTGAAGTCTCTTGCTAGGGCTGCCTCCAGCTCTGTGGGCTCAACCGTCAGCATTTGATGAGAGGCACCTAGGGAGGGAGCTCTGTCTTTCTCTTTCACACACACACACACACACACACACACACCCATACATCTCACACACATGCGCGCAAACACACACACGCACGCATGCACATCATTGGGGTAGGGGTCAGGAGTGGGACGGGGGCGGGCAAGGGTGGGAAAGGAGGGGATGTCTGAGCCGGCTGAGCAGTAACAAGCCTCTTGGTCCAGACCCCCACGGCCTTCCGCCTGCTGGCTTGTGTCTGCAGGGACCGGCCGGATGCTCGGTGGGCAGGAGACGCCCTCAGGCAGGGCCCGTTCTCCTCTGACCGACCATCCGTTGGCCACAGCAGGCTGAGGCATGGGCAGGCGTGAGGGCGCTTGGCACCCTGGCCTCTCCTTCGTGGGCATCCTGGTCTCCCGGGGCACGCCGTCCTCGCGGGGACAGCCCGGAGGCCACCTCCACAGGGCTCTGAGAGGTAGTGACTTCTCTCCCTTGGCATCGTTGCCCGTTATTCACGGATCGCTCTCTTCCCCCTGTTTCTAGGAGAAAAAAAAAGTGCGTTCGCTACATACAAGGTGAAGGCAGCTGCCTCAGTCCACCCTCTTCAGATGGAAGCTTACTAGACTCGCCTCCTCCCTCCCCCAACCTGCTAGGCTCCCCTCCCCACGACGCCAAGTCACAGACTGAGCAGACCCAGCCGCTCTCGCTCTCCCTGAAGCCCGACCCCCTGGCCCACCTCTCCATGCTGCCTCCGCCGCCCGCCCTCCTGCTGGCCGAGGCCCACGGCAAGGCCCCCGCCCTCTGTCCCAACGGGGCCCTGGACCTGCCTCCTGCCGGCCTGCCGCCGCCCAGCCTCCCCTCCTCAGCCCTGGCCCAGCCGTCGACTTCTTCCTTACATTCCCACAGCGCTTTGGCCGGGCCCCAGCCCCAGCCTCTCTCCCTCGTCACCAAGTCTCTAGAGTAGCTCTCGGCCCGGTTTGCTCTGTGTCGTGTTTCCTTTGGGTTCAGCTTCTCTTGGTTTCCGCCCGCCCTTGGAAAGGTTCTGTTTTGTACTCCGTTGTTTTGTTTTGTTTCGTTTTTTGTTTTTTTTTTTGGAGTTTGTGCCACGTGGCTACATTAGTTGATGTTTATGGAGTTCATTGGTCAATATTTGACCCATTCTTATTTCACTTTCTCCTTTTAAATAGATGAGAGAAGAACCTCATGATTCTACCAAAATTTTTATCGACAGCTGTTTAAAGTCTTTGTAGCGTTTAAAAAAAGAAAGAAAGAAATATATATATATACATAACTGTTATGTAGTTCCGATAGCTTAGTTTTAAAAGACTGATTAAAATGCAAAAAAAAAAAAGAAAAAAGGAAAAAAAAAAGCAATTTGGAAGCAGCCCTCCAGAAGGAGTTGGTTCTGTATTATTTGTATTGAATACGAGCTTGCGAACCAATCATTTTACATCTGGTTTTGAGACCCCAAGGGCACAGGAATGCAGTGCCGTGACCTTTTCCTTTTTATTTTTTTTTTTTCTGTGTGAAACAACTTTTATTGTGATGTTACTTGTTATTGTTTAAATGTACAGAAACAAAGGGTTAAAAAAATGTGTTAATATACCTTGTTCCCTGGTGTTGTTCCTTTGGGGGGAGGGAAGCTACTCAACAATGATACAGATCACAGCACTGTTGACCAGTAGTATTTATTGCTTTAGAGATCGCTCGTCCTGCCTGTTCGTCATCCCCTTTAAACTATGTTCTCTTTTTTTTCCCCCCTGAAACTGTGTAAAGTTTTTCCCCTCTTTAGCATAAGCATCTTATATATAACAATTCATTTGTACAAGGTTTTTAAGTTTATATATAAAATGTGTATATATTATTTTTTTTGTTGCCCTTTTTTGGACTTTTTATTTTTTTCTGTATGAAACCCAGATGCGGCCAAATGGACATTACTAGTTGCATTAAGGGATCAGTAGCATTAACAAAAGTTGCTTTAAAAGCCATTCTATAAAACAAGACTTGAAAATCGGTGAGGGAATTTCAGCAAGGCCATGCGAGCGACGGGGTGCCCTCGCCTGGGCCCCGTGGGAACTCCTGTGCCCCTAGAACATGAACTGACTGTGCAGAACTTGATGTGCCAAAATTCTCAGTGACTTTCGCTTTCTCCCTCTTTTTAATGCTGTAATTTTCGTTCATCATGTTTCGCTGTGATGTTACATAGTTAGATTTGTATGTAGGTTTAATGTCACCTATAACAAGATGTGTTTGGTAGCAGATTGTCCAGAAAGCATTTTAAATGAAGAGGTATAAACCCTTACGGGCCAAAATTCTGTATATTAGATTACTCTTAAAGGAAAAATCCAGCTGCCGCTTTTATGTAGATGTATTACATACAAGTCGGTGGCAGACTTTAAAAATAAAAAAAAAAAACCTAGGCATGTTGATGTTGCAAAATGCTGTATAAAGCTGAAACCTGTTCATTCAGTGCCATTGTAGTTGACATGAAGCGATTGTAAAACTGTCTCCAGTTTTTCTCTGGTTTATTAAAATGCTAACTATAACATTTTTTTTTTGTGAATACTTTGAATGTTTCCTAACAGTTGTGATGTTCCTGTTCCGTTTTATGCTCTTATTCCAATTTCATTTTTAATGGTTGGGAAGCCATTTTTGTAATGAATAAATGTTCATGTTGTACAGTATCTGTAGCATGCTGTTCTGGATTAATAAAAACAACTTAGTATGTGCAGATAAAGGCTGGTCACTTGTTTCTGTGATTTGGACTTTCTCTCTGGGGGAACCGGATGGACCTCATCCAGAGAAGCAGATTCCAAGCTGGAACTTGAAAGCCTGTGAGTGGAGCTGAGAGATGTGCGTACCCAAGTAGGGTGTTGGAACTCTTTGGAGGGGTGGAATAATTTTTTTTTCTTTCCCTTTTATTCTCAATGCCCAACTTGTGCACTCGGCGAATTCATTTCTCAAAGCAAAGCACAGAGGAAGGTCGCTCTTGTGACTGGAACGCATCCCTGAGCGATGCTGGTGGTCCCTTTCCCCCAGGATCAGAAAGGATACGATGATTCTGGCTGATGAGACCGGGTCCTTCAGAAACAGACTTCCGAAACCACACTGTTTATACCGTTGAAGGACTGCAAATGAGAAAGCATCCTAACTTATTTCTAAGAAGCACGAAAGGAGAGGTGCTTGGGGAAGATGGGGACAGAGAGAGTGTGAACCCCTTACCTTGCAGTGAGCAGTTGTTGAGCCAGGCAGTTTAAAAATTGTTTAAAATGTCTTGGTTTGGGGCCACACCCAGTGAAGGTCAGAGTTTACTCCTTGTGCTGTGCTAAGGAATTACTCCTGGCAGTGCCCAGGGGGAACCATATGGGATGCTGGGTATCAAGCCTGGTCAGTCACAAGCAAGGCAAGCACCTTGTCCGCAGTACTATTGTTCGGGCCACTCAAGATGCTTTTTTTTTTTTTTTTAAAGCAAATTGGACCAAGGTAATTCCTATAAAGATTTGTCTGGAGGCACCTTGGGGCCCAAATCCCTTGGCTCTGTGCCCCAGCCGGGGGGCAAGTTCATCAGCACCTGCGCATGGAGTCGCAGGAAAGATTGATCCTCTGCAGGCTTCACCTGGAATGCATCTCTCACGCTGACTCAGATGGATGGACGCTCGTCCCATTGATCTGGGACAATTGTATCTTCAAAGGACTTGATTTCAATGGGCTGGGAAGCTGTTCATGTAGCCGTTTTTGTTCCTTAAGGTTACCAGCTGTTGTCCTCAAGGACTTGAAGGCAAGTCGGAAACGCTGCTTTGCTTAAGCTAGTTTTTGTTCTCGCGAATCTCCGTGTTTTGTTTTTGCTTTGCTTTGTGTTCCCTGGGAGGAGTGTCCTTCACTTTCATTTACCACCCTGGGCCGGGATGACCTCTCCCAATGCACAGAAGAAAACTGTCTGTTCTCTGTGGCGCTGTGCCAGGCCGGGCCTGTGCGTTTTCTCTTGTTGCATCCCAACACGACCACCAGAGGTAGGCATTATTCTCCCCCTCCACCCTCCGCTTCATTTTCTAAAACTGGGTTTAGAAACTCTAAGGTTAAGTGTCTTGTTCAAGGCCGCGCAGCATGTAGGTGGTAGAGAGGAGAGATGGAGGTGAGTTGAGATTCGACTGTTCAGGTTTCGGTGACATCTCCTTGGATGCCAGCAAAGTTCCTTCTCCCCAGTAGAGCACTAAGTTTCCTCTCTCACTTGGCCTCCACTCCAGTGCACACACACACTCATTTCTTCTAGCCACGCCAGAGAGGAGCTAGTGCTAAGCTCTGTGGGACTTTGCCCATAGTTTCTTTTGTCCGTAAAGCTCTATTCTCTCCAACCCCGCTACCTACTCCCCATCCCCACCCCCAACCATTCAGCTCTCGGTGTAGACAAACATATTCCATCCACCAGTCCGAACATGGGTGCCAGTTTGCGGGTCTAGAGAGGTTGAAGAATTCTGATATAGATGACAAAGGTGGAAGGTGTCTCACCCAACCATTGTGCCTATCAAATGTGACCTAATTAGACCATTGTCGACATCCTGTGTTCCTTGGCCTCAGCACTAGTGACAGTTGATGCAGGGTAATTCTTGGTTCATGGGCGCAGTGTAGGATGTTAGAACTACTGACCTCTGTCTTCTAGCCTCTTTCCCCAGCCAAGCAGAAACATCTCTCATCATGGTCACGTCACTGAGGGAGAGGGCACAACATCTCCCCAGGAAGACCGTTGCTATGGGTTCCCCATAGTGGGACAGGGCTGCTTACATTCATATCCTGGCTCATTGCCTAGTACTTGGAAGTGCTCCGGATAGCTCTGCTGGAGGGAGGAAGAGGTAAAGTTGGCCAACTCAACATAAGTACTTTGGGACACAGGAAAATGGAAACTTTGTGTATTGCTTCCCGTTTTGTGTTCCTACATCCTTTCAGCCATGCTGGCATGAAGCTCTGTGCCTTTGTGACAAAGGACAGAAAATGAGCAAGGTGAGAGTGGGCAGCCCCTTTGCTCTCAGCCACCCAGAGTGAGGCTCGCTCTAAGCTTCAACCTTATAGGTCAGTTGGTTATAGCCTTAATGCCTTGTCACATGCTAACAGCACTTTGAGATCTTCTTTTCTCCCTCCTAGGAAACACAGTTGAGAGTCCAGGTTGCCATCAACCAAAAGCTAAATTCTTGACCTCTTCAAGACTTCTCCCTGCCTATTCCCCCGCCGCCCTCCCCCGCCCCCCCCCCCCCCGCCCCATTCAAGAGTTGGGCTTTCAAGCTGAGTGTCTAACAATCTCCTCTATGGAAAATGGTTCTGTTGGATTTCTTTTGTGATTGAAAGACTCTCAATTGCTGGGCATATCATTCCTGGCCTCTCCAGGGATCCGGTCAACTAGATCTGCTTAGTAGGAGAGTGTGGTGGTAACTTGTGGCAGTCATAACAAGTTAACCCAGACATGGCTTCAAACACAGGCTGGCTCTGGGGCTGCCGTCCCCAGGAGGGGGAAGGTGTTAGGAAGTCTGGTCCCTCCAGAGGTCCTAAGACCTTCAGCGTCTCATCCAGCCTTGGTGCCCATCTGTCCGAATCCCAAGTGTCCCTTTGATTGGCAAGCCTACAGTTCACATCCTGCCTCTCTCTTCCCAGTGCTGTTGGGTTTGCTTGTACAACCCCTCACAAGGTTCTCCTGGATTGTGCTTAGGGCCCATCTGGATCACTGACTTGGCCCGAGAGCCTTAACTTGCTCATTTCTTCTGCCATATAATGTATTGTTCACAGGTGCTGGGGTTAGGACAGGAGCATGTCTTTGGGGGCACCACCATTTGGTGCACTAGAGAGGCATTTTTCCATCCTGGAGGCTCTGCAGATTCTTAGTGCAGAATTCTCTAGAATTCTCTAGAATTTTCTCTTTTTGCCTTTGTTCATGGTCTGGGGCAAGCTTGGCCAGCAAGACATCGGTGTCGTGGAGGGTGTACCATAAAACTTAAATGTTTTTATATAAACTTATATGTTTTCATTCTGATGATATGGACACATCTCGAGCCTATAGGACCCTTAAC